CAAATGAATGCTTTTATCTAACGTTACGACACGTTTGGGTGACAAATGATTTTTAACTACAATTCAGCATAAAAATTGTAGTTTATTGCATCACTACTGTCCATCCCGCCCTTTCCCCATTCTATGGGATTTAACATGGGATCCCAGTTATGTTAAGTCTATGGCGCTGTTTATTCTATGAATAATGTTAAGTCTATGCATTTCCGAATTGTAGTTAACTTATGTTAACTAGTTAACCTTGTTTATAATTTTTATTTAGTTTTGTTATATTGTTTTGACTGCTATATGAGTTTATACCCTGTTTTCCATGAGATTTAATTTAATTGCCATATTTAAAATCTTGATAAATTTTGATCGTTAATTAACTAAGGTAGTAAATGGTATTTATGGCGGAATAACCATGTTTTTGACATAACATGTAGTTTTCTTATTTAAAGTATACGTAAATAACTAATATTGTTATACATTTATATTCACATAAAAACATTTCATTTTGTTTTAAACAAATCTAACGATCGTATTGTTTAAAATGCAATGAAATCCCAGATCTCTCATAAGCAGTTCATTTTTTGCAATAAAAACAAATGAATAATTAGTTATTCATTTTATACTGTACCAAGATTTCTTATACCCACACAGAATACAGTATATTCAGGATAATTTCAAAAAATATTACTATATAAAGGTAAAATGGTAAAATAATATTCTGTAAATAATTATTTATAGATTGTTAATGCCTATTCTAGTTTAGTAAATTCAATCACCTAGGCTAATGATCATGCTTAATATTATTTTACACAATCATTAATTTGGATTTTGTTACTAGAAATGCATTATATTTTAATGGAAAACAATAGTTATTTGACATTTAATCCAAATGTTTTTCACAGAGTATTAAAACAATTATTTAGACAAAAGCTTTTCAAATCTATGAATAGCTTTAATTCTATGGCATTATTGGTTTTAATTTGCAATAATTTCTATGGAAAAGCATTTTAATAATTAATTAAACGAGAATTAAACACAAATCATAGCTATAATTATAATTACCTTTTGCGAATAAAAGTTTAAATAAACGTTTATGTTGTAAAAATTAATTAAAACTTAATTTAACGCATATTGATAAATATCGCCATAAATCAAACAGGTTAATCTCTTTTCATAATCAAAAGCTATATTTAATTGGGTATTAATTAAAACAAACAATAAATACATAATATAAATTTTATAATTAATCATGAAAGAGTATATTACTAATTATATATACAGATAATTACAAAAATAAATTAAAAATTTCACCATGCTAAATCTAGTGGAAAGACTTTGTGGAGACGAGTTGTACTGAGAGTTGGCCCGTAATCACGGAGTACTCGGCGGTAAACGACAGATGTGTGCACTCGTATCCGTTCAAAAAGCTGTATTACTCAATGGTAACGGTTATCCTATTCTTTGTGCCGGTGCTCGTTATGATCACCGCATACTCGCTAATTGTATGGCGCCTATGGGTTCACAAAGCACCCGGAGAGCTCATCACACAAACCCAGAGGGCCCAGAATTGTTCCAAGAAAAAGGTACATGCCGCTAATTTTAATCATGTATAATTTGAGTTTAGTTAAATTAATTTGTTTAATTTAATTTTATACGGGAGGTTTTATTTTTAAAGCGTGTACATTGATATTTGATGTGTTTAAATAAATTGAATCAAAATTACTTGAATATATCAAAAATGTTAAAAATAAAATTTGCATAAATAGATTCAATGGATAAAATAATGTGTATTTCAATACATAATTAAATTGTAGTTTTTACTCTCACTTTATATTAGTTTATAATAGATATAGTTATCTATTTGTTAGATATTTCAAAGAAAAATATTTTATTTTTATGTTTTTTGACGTGAATAGGGATGGGAAACGGTTATCAATCCCAGCGATTATGCCTAATAATATTAAAAACATTTTGTTTTATTGTTTTAAATCAGCAAGTGAATAAATTTTGCTGTCATAAAATTTGTGTTGGATAATTAGTTTGTAAAATATTTCATAATATTAACCATTTTATGTAATTATAAATAAACAAATAAACCATATATTGAAAGCCTTAGAGATATAAACTTTATAAATAAAAAGATTGGTTTCTTTAGTAAAAGTTTTAATTAATTTTCAAACAATACTAAATTTGTTAATTAGTAAATTTGGAAATAATATTAAAATATCCCTAATGATAAGTTTTAATTAAATTATATAATAATAATAATAATACCATTAGATTATTAAAATAATAAACATTATCTTTGAAAAGTTATTTGAAAAACAACTAAAAATGATAGATATCTATGCGATGGCCACAAGAATCCGGAAAATTTTATGCAATTTATTTAATGTATAAATATATTGTTTGTACCATATATTTATTGAATATGTATTTTCTGTATAATATATTGATTATATTTCAAAAATATAAATAAAACAGAATTTTTATTATTATATTTCAATGGAGAATACAATTCCATATATTAAAGAATATTCTGTAATAATAGGAGAAATTAATTAAAAAATTCATATTTTAATTAGTTATTGTGTAAAATATTTAGGAAATTATCTAATTAATATTACAATACTTATTTATATTGGGATTTAATTAATAAACCATCATAATAAAACAATATAAAATTATGTAGCAATAAGCTAACAATGGACTATAGCTTTGTATTAATTAAAAATAATTGCCCATTATGTTATCAACAATAGGCTAATTAAATAAAAACAAACAATGTTTCCCTAATCAATAGCCAACTACAATCAACTCTAGATTTAAGTAACTATTAATAAACTATACATTTTGCACCAATAGGTCGTTAAAATGGTTTGTTTAGTGCTGTTGTGTTTCATCATATGTTGGATGCCATTGCAGATCATAGTATTGTATTCACTGTTTGGACACTCGGCCAATGATTCCGGTGAAGTAAGCAAAACATTGACCATCATTTAAATGTTAACTAGTTCAATTGTTAATTCATAATAATCATGATTATTTTGTTGTTTAGTTGCCCACGTGGTTTCCCACATTGTCTTATATGAGCACATTTATAGCGTACACCAATTCAGCTCTTAATCCCGTTATTTACGGAGGTTTTAACAAAACATTTCGACAGACACTGTATTCAGTGCTCCGGTTTGAGTGTCAAGTCATTCACAGATACCGTAAGTATATTTTGTGGACTCGTTTTAGGTTTTGTTTTTATACACAGAATATTCTATAAAGTAATATATTTTAATTTAACGATAAAATAAATGTATAAAAGTTATTACATAATTTTCAATTTATATTAATATTTAATATATTATGTTTTTATACGAACACGGATTTTATTTTTATAAATGTAATTTATAATGTTAAACAATGTAAACTTTATTTGGGTAGATAAATATTGTCAGGAAAAACTAATTAGTGTAATTAAACACTAGTTACTGTAAACCTTAATTACAGTTAAGAACCAATATTAATACCTAATTGACACTCAAACCGGAGCACTGAATACAGTGTCTGTCGAAAT